ACTCTTATGTGTTGTATACCTCTTCTATCCATATGGTTTATTTTGCACCTTCCCCGATCTGTAATAAAGAATGAACAAGGGTTGAGGTGGTCACAAAGAATAATGTCACATTCTCATACATACATCTACTAGTATTCCGGATCTCATGAGGATATCACTATCATCGATCGATATGGGGAATTCCCTACTGTTCCACTCCTTGGCATTAGGGTAGGTATTACTTACAACCCTTCTCTGGCTCTACGACAATTTGGTTATTCTCGAAGAGATGGTCCTCATGACGCACTTATCCAGGGTATTATGTTCGACTATGAAAATGATCCTCAAGGTTATCATCGAAGGTTTATACATGCTTAGGGCATGGTAATAAAAATTGATAGTAAGGCTTTAAGGCAGAAGAATTTCATCCCTCTGGATCCTTATCTAAAATGGATACGAGCATGCACTCAAGACCTTATGATGCCATATACAACCATCTTACTAGTGATTATGGAGCCTGTTATCGAAGGAGACGTTTCCCACACCATCTTCCATATAGACATGCCCACTGACCTTGAAGAATTGCAGAAGTCTTACGTTCAACATAAAGAAGAACGGGACAGCTTTAAGACTCAATTTTATGCAAGTGAAAAGAAAGTGTTGGATCTCACCAAGAAACTTCATGAGGAGCAGAGTATTAATGCATACATCAACACAAAGAGGAAGCGTCCATAGGAGATTTGAGTCTTAGGTTTTAGGATTTTATATTGTTGTTTCTTTGAGATCCTTTTGTTTTCATTGTAAGCCTAAGAGGAAATTGTAATTTTGAACTTACTAAAAAAATATTTGTTTCTGTTTTCTCTTGGATAGCAAATTTAAATCTCCTAAGATCCTTGAAAACATTTGCATTTACATATCATGCATCATTACACTACAAGTCATTCATACATGTTTTCTCATCTACTTACTGTTTATTTCAGTATAAGATGGCTCTCAAAAAAACTGTCAAGGATCTCCAGGATCAGCATGCATAATTTCAAGAGACTCTTTTGAATCTGGCCCAGGGGCAGAAAGATATGATGGCGCTCGTCGCCAAGAAAAAGAAGACTAAGAAGCCGATTGTTATCCTTAATATGAGGAGAAGGTTCAAAGGTCTTACTCAACCAGTTCAAGTGGATGATGTTTCCTCTAAGGAAGACGAAAACCAGGAATAAGATGGTAGAAGCATCAATCATGAAGGAAGGAATGACCAGGGTTATGAAAATGTTCATGAAGATAAAGACTACTCTGACGAACAGTACCCTCCCAAAGATGACAAGTACAAGCAGTTGGAAGACCGACTCAAGGCTATGGAAATCCAGAAGGTGCCTGGATTTGATTTTGGTGAACAAGGTCTGATCCCCGGGGGTGGTTATCCCTCATAAGTCCAAGGTCCCTGTCTTGCCTAAAAATGATTGGGTCTCTTGTCCCAAACTCTATTTGAGATCGTATGTCCGAAAGATCCAACCTCACATTGCTGACAGGAAATTATGGGTCCATTTATTTCAAGAAAGTCTGGCTGGCACTCAACTTGAATGGTTCTATCAGCTCGAAGGAACCAACATTCACACATGGGAAGACATGGCTGCTGCTTTCTACATGTAGTATCAATATAATACTGACCTGACACCGACTCGAGTGCAACTACAAAACATGTCCATGGGCTCGAATGAAGGGTTCAAGGAGTATGCATGAAAACAGAGGTATTTGGCTGCAAGGGTGCAACCTCCTTTGACTGAGCAGGAGCTAGTAGATATGTTCATGGGCACTCTGACAGGCTATTCTTTAATATGTTGATTGGAAGCTCGTCATCTGATTTTAAGGAGATGATTCTGACTGGGGAAAGAATTAAAGGTGGTATTAAGAGTGGGAAGATTATGATGGCTACATATTTTAATGATGTGAAGAATCCATTTAGTGGTAAAAAAGAAGCCAATGCCGTCTATAAGACCCGTAGTAAAAGTGACAGCCATCAGTCTGTTGGAGCGAAGTTGATCTCTAATCCAGCGCCTGTTCAACAACAACAACAGGGCAACCGATAAAGGCCAGATGCTCCTTTAAGAAAATTTACCAAGATCGGAATACCTTTATCTCATGTGTAATACGGTGGGAGAACTGACTTGGGTATTTTGCGTTTTATCGCAAATTTGTTGCGGATAGCAAGAGTCGCCACTGACTTTTCTTTTATCCAATAAAGGAAAGAGTAAAAAGAATAGGAAATACCTTTTGAGATATTTTCTTGAGTTCGGGGGGGGGGGGGGGGGGGTAGGTTATGAAAAGGGAATGTGTTAGCACCCTTTTCACCTGTAGTTATCTACGGGCTCTTAGTTGCTTGCTAAATCACTTGAAAATGCTTTGTTTGAAAATGTATTTCTGATTGGTGCAAGTTTAAAAATATTTTGAAAACGCCTTTGTTTCGGAAAACTTTGTAATGATTCTCATCTCTATAAGAATATATACAAAGTGTTGGTTTTGAAAATAGTTCAAAGAGATGTTTGTTTTTTGAAGATGTTTTAAAAGTGTGAGTGTGTAGATGGTTTTAGTTTGTGAGCAAGCAACTACGAACATCCTACCTAATCAACAAGTCTTTGTTATTTTCCTCCTCTTTTATATGTGGCTATCTTACCATTGATTGGTAAGAAGGACTATCATTAGATGTGAAGGGACATGCACGGGTCAATCGTACAGTTATAGAAGGCAACTTATGAGACACTTTAGCAATTTACGTAAGGGACTAGATCGTTTACCGAAGGCAACATCGAGGGACATCGAGGGACTACGATCTTTCTTTAACAAAGGGTCTTTGCTAAATTGTACCACATTCAAGGGACATGACTGTTTTTCCGAGGCAACGAGGGAGGTTATCCTAGATGTGCGCGTGTGAAAAGTGTGTTTGATTCAAGTAAATTTGTCTTTGATTAGGATTATCTAGCGATTGATTTTAAATCTTGCCATACACACCTAATTACTATACAGTATAAAGAAAAAAAAGTAAATTGTGGAAATTAAAATTATACGTTATTACAGAGTTTTCAGGAATGAGGAGTACAAATTTACAAATGGGGATGGATTAATGCGATGAAAAGTCCAAAATAGGTAATCAATACAACCAAATTGACTAAGACAAACTATTAAAGTAAAATTAATAGGAAAAAAAATATTTTTGGTATTTTTGTTTGTGAGGAAATTTAAAAAAGAAAAATAAAATTTTATTCTATTATTTTTATTTGAATATTATTATGTATAAACTAAATATTTTAAAAGAAAATTTATTAAACTATATAAAAAAAATGTTGGGAAAATTATTTACAAAGTCCTAAAAAAATTAATTATTTTTTGTATTTTTTGTTTGATTTTATATGTCAATAATAAAAAAATAAAAGAAACCAATGTCTAATTTTAATTACAAATTAATTAACTTAATTGCAAAAAAAAAACTTAATTTTAAATTAATTAAGTTAATTGATAAAAGGAAAAGACTAAACCTATTTTTTTATAAGTTTTTTCTGATTTTTTTTGTATTTTTCTAATGCCTAAGATAATAATAAAAAAAACTTAGTTAAATTAACCTAATTAAATAATATAAATTAAACAAAAATTGAACTAAAAAAAAACTTTGAGGCAACCATTCAAACTTTTTCCTAGTTTCTGTCAAGTTAAATTAACCTAATTAAATAATATAAATTAAACAAAAATTGAAAAAAAACAAAAACTTTGAGGCAACCGTTCAAACTTTTTCCTTGTTTCTCTTAACACTAAATTAACTCCTAATTAATTCTAAAGATAAATCTCAATTAACTCAATAAAAAAAAGGTCTGATTCCTCTCTCTCTCCAATTGAACAACCGCTCTCTTCTTCTCTTCTCCTATCTATTATCTCAAATCTCTTAATCATTTTCTATCTTTTTTTCTTTCTCAACAAAATTGATTAAGGCCCAAAATCCTCTCCCTCCATCTCTCACGCTCTTTTCTATTCCTCTATTTTTAAACCTCAATTTTCTTCTCTATTCTTTTAAAAATCCAAGAAAGTTACAACAAATTATTCACATATGCCTTCCACACACCAACGAATAGAAGAAACAAAGAGTAAAGGGACTGGCTTACCAGCGACGATGTTGATGTTTTGACTGCGGCGGACAAGAACGTTGAAACAACGCTAAATCTATAGAGTAGAGGTTTTCCGCAACTGGATATGAGGCTAGGAGGTACGGCCGTGTGTTAGCGTTGTTGGTCTGGTGTGGTTTTTTTGTTGTTGTCGAATGATGATGTTGCTGTTAGTATGGTTCATGAATTTGTATATGCAGGTTGTGGTCGTTTTTGTTGAAGAGGTTTGGAGGTGTTTGAAGAAGGTTGTGTAAAGTTAAGAGTTTTATAATATATGTTTGTTATGGATTTTTGCAGGGTGGTTTTTTGAAGTGGATATTTGAAAGCAGTTGAATGGTACAGTGTGTATGAGTTTTTTGTTGCAGATTGAAACAAGGGTTTAGAGTGAATTATTGATTTTTTTTTGAAATTTTTTGTATAATTTGTGATGCTTTTTCTCTGTGTTTTCTCTTGTACAGGGCTGCCCTTTTATATCGAATAACAATGGGTTTTGGGGAGGGAAAATTGGCAAATTTGAACTGATTTGGTCATACTGTTTCATTACTTTTCAATGCATAATTTTGCTTTACCCATTTGTGCAACCTTTGGCATGTTATGGGACTGTTTTATGCAGGTTTTTTAGCAGCTAATGCAGGCTGCTTTTGATAGTTTTATGGGCAGCAGTGGCACAAGGTTTCAGATTGGCTTTTTCTCATTGCTACTAGGCTGTAGCAGGGAAATTTGCAGCAAGGTAGCAAGACTGTTTTGACAGTTTTATGGGCTGGTTTGTGAACATGTTTGGACTGTTGTATGGGCTAGGTGATATCTTTCTAAACCTGTCTCTTTCCTCTTTATCTTTCAATGATGAAAACTTTTTGCTTTTTGAAATTTCTGAAGGATTTACAATATTAGGAAAATGATGACATAAGGTTTTGATAGCTTGCATATGCCGCTTTGGGATGTTGTGCTGCTTGTTTTTTGTATTTCTTGTTGCGCTTTTGTTGTTTTGGTTTGCTGCTGCGCTTTTGTTGTTTTGAGTTGTTTTTCAATGAAATAGTTGCGAATTTCTTTTCCCTTTTGTGAACCAAATATTTTTGTGATTTGCAAAATAGGAGGAGATGGCTTATAATAGAAACAAAACATTTTTTTCAATTTCTGATTCCAGTTTCATATCCTAATGATGAGATACAAATCTTCTTTAATCACTAATTCTTGCTTGGATTATTTTTTTACGATTCTTGCTAATCTCATCTTTGGTTTGTTTCATGTGACGGTATGGAAAAAGGCAAGGCAATTGAATGGTGAAGCTTAGTATGACGAAACTCTTAGGAAACAAGAGATTGAAGACTAAGTCAATAATGCTTCAAGAGCTTTGATGGACAATAACTTGTAGTAGTGAAAACTCCTTTGTAAACATGAACTTGTAATGAATATTTGTTGTAGAAGAACTTGATAAAACATCTTGACTTTGTATTTTTTTTTAATTGTGAATATGTATTGATTTGAAATTTATTCTTGAATGAATTATGACTTTACACTTTTGAAATCGAATTTGGACTTGTGAAATAAAAATTGAAAAATGATGAATGACGCATTGGTACTTCCTTGGAATGAATCTTGATCAAATGAAATTTGAATGAAGATGGATGAAGTTGATGAATGCCTTGCATTGAATTCAAAATAGTTCACATGAATGAATTTTTTCAAATATATTAAAATTGTGCCATAAACATATTGATCCATTTGAATATCTTGAAACAAATTCATGTGAATGAATTATGCCTCGCATGCTTGAATTGGGGCGAAGTCAAAAGAATTATTTGAATTGATCCTCGAATCTTCTTCATTAAAATCCATATCTTCAATTCATAGTAACTTGAAATACGAGCCAATATTAAAAATCTTGCCTTTAAGAATTTTGATCAAAATCCCATTTCGATCCAATAATCGTTATCGTTCAAACGCAAACGATTTGAAGTACAAATAACAAACTACCCATGAACCTTCAAACTTAAACTCTTGTTTCAATGAATTATCTCAACATAATGATCAACATCTAGAAATAACATTCTACAGTCAAGAAATTCCTATAAAATTTCAATAAATTTCATGGTCTTCCAAGCGCATTTTGACTTCGATCGATGAAGCAATCTCATTGACAATGCTATTTGTGATACTTCGCAAAAAGAATCGCTTCAAAACATTGAAAATTGAAGAAGTTATGAGCCTCAAAAATTGGACAAGAGTTTATTGTGATTAGGTCAAATTTGCAAAATGACCTCTAAAGTGTTCGAATTTTCTGATGATCTTTCTCACATAATCAGCTCTTGACTTATGAAGAGAAATCGAAGATGACGTCAAGGAGAGTAATACACAAAAAGAACAGCTCAAAAAATCAAATAATGAAGAAGTTACAATCGTTTGAACTTGATCTTGCAAAGGTCGATTTTTTTGGGTTAATGCAGTTCATTTTCAGTCATCTGAACCATTGACTGAGCAAACTCACAATGCAAGGCTTGAAACTTGGCACGGGCATCCTTGAGAATACATGAAGAACCATAGAGACTTTTTGAAACCTTGGAAACTTAAATTTATTGAGAAATACCAAACCCTAGTTGCTGACTCAATGTCTAGGAGGAGAATATGTCTGATCAACTTCTGAGCCAAATTGAGATTTAAGAAACCCTAGGATAGTATCTTGAATGAAAAATGGGAGGGAAAATTTTGGGGTACAACATCAGACATTACAACATTTTTTAAAGGCTGAACTCATTTCACAGCGGGGTCCTCCTCAGAATCCCAACACATCCTCTCCAAAGTATAATCCAAACGCGAGGTGTGCCTATCATTCAAACAGTCTCGGGCATGACACCAACAATTGCTGGGCCCTGAAGAGTAAGATTCATTATATGATTGATAACAAGGAAATTAAGTTCGGTCCTCCTGAGACTCCAAACGTGATTACTGCATCTATGCCAAAGCATGACAAGGGCATAAGTGTTGTTGAAGATGTTTTATATGTTACCTCTGTAAGTGATGTGGTTACTCCTCTCTCAACAATCAAGGAAAATTTGTTACAAGCTGGTTTATTTCCGGATTGTGTTAATGAATGTTATTGCAGTGCAGTCAAACCCAATGGTTGCGGGTTATTAAAGCAAGGCATTCAGCGCCTGATGGATGAACATCTAATTTTGATTGAAAAAGTTATGTATGCTGAGAATTTGTGCCAAGATTTGTCTGTCGTATCTGGTACTCCTTTCAGGATCACTTCCAAGGATCCTGTAAGGATTACCACCAATCCAAAAGTTGTTCCTTTAATCATTACAACACCTGGGCCCATCCCATATTCCTCGGAAAAGGTTATTCCATGGATTGACGTCTATTACCACGACATTAAACAAGAGTTGTCTGATGAAGATGATGAAGAGGCTGATCCCATCATTGTTAATATTGCATGTACAATCAAAATTACTAGAAGCGGAAGGATTTTCTCCCTGAAATCTCTCCACCTGTTCAAGTCACATTTACTAGGACAACTGCCGAGGCTCAGGGTAAAGAGACAATGATAGAGCCTGCCATGATGGAGGCATCAAAAGTAACCACAATCAAGGACACCTCTGAACAAGAGTTGGAAGAGGTTTTAAAGATCATTCGCATAAGCGATTATAAAATTATTGAATAGTTGGGGTAGACCCTGTCCAAAATCTCCATGTTATCTTTACTGCAGTGTTCTGAAGCCCATGCGCAGGCTTTAGTAAAATTCCTGAAGACTGCTCATGTGCCGCAAGAAATTTAAGCTGGTCAATTTGGAAGTTACGTGGCCAGTCTAACAACTGATAATGGATTAGGCATCTCCGATGCTGACCTGACTCCGGAGGGGAGAAATAATAATAGGTCCATGTATGTCTCCATTGAATGCAGGGGCTCTACGTTGGCTCATATGGTAATTGATACGAGCTCTTTTCTGAATGTTCTGCCAAAAGGTGCTCTTAAAAAACTGGATTGTGAAGGGGTTGTGCTGAAGCCCAGTAATATCATAGTTCGAGCCTTTGACGGGTCCAGAAGAATGGTGCATGGAGAAGTGGACCTCCCAATCAAAGTGGGTTCATAGATATTTGAATCCACTTTCTATTTTATGGACATCCGGCCAACTTATTCTTATCTATTGGGACGCCCCTGGATCCATAGGGCATACGTTGTCACCTCCAGTTTGCATCAGAAACTAAAGTACCCGGTAAAAGGAAAGGCTGTTGCTGTCTGCGGAGAAGAGGAGTACGTGGTCAGCCACCTGAATTCATTCTGGTATATGGAGATGGACGAAGAATTTATCGAGACTCCCTGTCAGACCTTTGAAGTGATTTCCTCTGCTGATGTTAAAGATGTTTCTGCCGTTACAAATATCACCAAGACTCCGCACAAGATGACTTCCTTGAAATATTCCAAAGAAACTATAGAAGAAGATGGTTGTACTATTTGGGGTCATCTTCCTGATATCCCTTATAAATCTGACAAGTTTGATTTGGGCTTTACTGCAAAAGTTCAAAGGGTTATTCGTTGCGCTTGAGCTGGAAGACCTCCATTCCACATCAGCAATAACAGAGTCAATGATATAGAGGATGCATATAGTGATTGTGACTTCAACAGCTGGATGTTCCCTACCATGGGTGATTGACTCAACAATTGGAAAATGGAATACATTTTCCCTATCTCCTTTAGTCAGGAGTAATAGCTACATTATTGTCTTATTGCTTTTAAAAAGATTTTGGTTATGTAATAAACAATGACTTTTAACCTTGTGTCTTACCCAGGGCATAATGGTTCTTTTGTTAAGGGTTGATAATTCATAAACATTGTTGGTTCAATAAAAACATTGGACGTTTTGCATAAAAATTTTGTGATCTCTGTTTTTCTTTTATCTTATTGCATTTTCAAATAGCTATGTGTTCTTACACACACCCACACACTACATTGTAGATCCTCATCCACTATGGATCTCGTTGACAACAATTCTGCTATTTCTGCTTATGACTTCGAAAATATGATCTACCAAGCCAAGGACGAAGGTGAGGAAGATTGTGAAATACTCGGAGAACACCCCATACTCTTAATATAAGAAGAAAAGGCTATCCAACCTTATGAAGATCCAGTTGAAGTGGTAAACTTGGATACCAAGACAGATAGGAAGGAAGTCAAGATCGATGCTAACTTAGAGAGCAGTGTCAAGAGAAGATTAATTCAGATGTTGCATGAATATGTTGAAATTTTTGCTTGGTCATACGAAGACATGCCAGGGCTCGATACTGATATTGTAGTTCATCGTATGACAATGAAAGAGGGTTGTTCTCCGATCAAGCAGAAGGTTTATCGCATGCGTCCTAAAATGTCAGAAAAGATCAAAGTTGAGGTTATGAAACAATTCAACGTAGGATTCTTAGTAGGGAAATCATATCCTCAATGGGTTGCTAATGTTGTTCCAGTGCCAAAGAAAGATGACAAGGTATGTATGTGCGTAGATTACAGGGATCTGAACAAGGTGAGTCCCAAATATGACTTCTTGCTTCCACATATTGATGTTCTGGTCGACAACACTGCTCAGCACAAGGTATTGTCTTTCATGGATGGTTTCTCAGGGTATAATCAGATCAAAATGGCACCTAAAGACATGGAGAAAACTACCTTTGTTACATAGTGGGGCACTTTCTATTACAAGGTTATGCCTTTTAGGTTGAAGAACGTCGGGGAAACTTATCATCGTGCCATGGTAGCCTTATTTCATGACATGATTCACCACAAAATAGAGGTCTATGTTGACGATATGATAGCAAGGTCACAGATTGAAGAAGAGCATCTTGATCGTCTGCATAAATTGTTTGAAAGGATGAAGAAGTACAAGCTAAGGTTAAATCCGAACAAGTTCACCTTTGGGGTGAGAGCCGGTAAACTCCTGGGTTTTGTCGTCAGCGGTAAAGGTATTGAAGTTGATCCTGAAAAATTTAAAGCTATTCAATAAATATCGGCTCCCCGTACTAAGAAGGAAGTCAGAGGTTTATTAGGACGACTGAATTACATTTCCCGATTTATTTCCCATTTGACTGCTACTTGTGAACCAATCTCCAAGCTGTTGAAGAAAGATCAAGTAGTAA